GTCTAGGTAGCTGCCGGATTTCCGAGGGCAAGTCTCGATCATAACAAAGACAGAGATAATATTATCACCTCGTCTTCTAAATCATAAGACAAGAAAGGCAGAGATAATCATTAATCATCTCGTCTTCTCAATCATAAGAAAGGTAGAGATAATCACCTCGTCTTCTCAATCATAACAAAGTCAGATAATAATCACCTTGTCTTCTCAATCATAACAAAGGCAGAGATAATCATTAATCACTTCGTCTTCTCAATTATAAAACAATCAGAGATAATCACCTCGTCTTCTCCATCATAACCATAACAAAGGCAGAGATAACCATCTTGTCTTCTTTTATTGGGACAAAAGCTTTAAAAGTAGAGCTGTGGACACTCTGCTGCTGCATGCCAGAAAAAAATATCATTGAGAAATGTAATGTGCGCATTTGTACACCCCCATTGACACAATACATCGCTCAGGAAACGAGCTACCGACCCTGCCTGTCAAGACGAACCCGAGCTGAGAGGGACACAACATCCCAGCAGAAAGACCGAGATACTCGATAAAATTCCCCCCCACTCCGGAATCGAAGACAGGTCTACTGCACGTGACAGCGAAGTGCCTAATCGCTACACCACAGACGCTGATCTCTTTGCTCAGTTAAAGATCAAATTGTAATTATTACATATATTGTGTAACTGTACACACTTTACGCCCCAATCGACGCACCATTCATCATCATTTGCCTTTCACCCTGGTACTGGATATTACCACATAGCCCTCCACCCCCCCCAAAAAAACAAAACAAACAACAACAATAACAACAACAACAAAATCTTCGCAATTTAGATAATCAAAGTCAAAGAGTAGGTGGTTAGCAGGTGCTCTGGTATGGTTCGCTCCTTATTTTCTATCAAACATCTATCACTCTTATTATGCATATATCTCTCCTTCTTTTTTGTGTTTGCTACTCTCTTGTATCACTTCCAATCTTTGGCACTTATATGACCTTGTATTGTTGCAAGTGCTGTATTAAAATTCTTACTAAAAGTAAAAAAGTTAAAGAGGCCAACAGCTCCGACCCTGGCCTGTCAGGGCCAAACTCAGCCGAGAGGGATACAACAAGGTCCCACAGATAGACGGAGACACTCAACACAAAAAAACCCTTCCCCTCACAGTAACTGAACCCGGGCTTGTGTAAGATGGTGAAGTGTCTAACCACTTAACCACAGACGCGAGGGGAAAATAGTGAAACGGAAATAGGTTTGTTTAAATTTTATATCAAGACGACCTTTGCAAATCGCTTAACGTGGCCTTTGAGGCAAAAAGAAGGAGGAGGAGGAGGAGGAGGAGGAGGAGGAGGAAGAAGAAGAAAAAGAAGAAGAAGAAGAAGAAGAAGAAGAAGAAGAAGAAGAAGAAGAAGAAGAAAAATGTTCACCCATAAAGATTACAAAAATAAGTCTCTTTAAAAAAATTATTATCATGGTGTTCTACACAAGAAAGGTGAAGAAAAAGAAGAAGAATCTCCCATATAAATTACAAAAACAAGTGGTTTAAAAAAAAAGTATTCTGAGCAAAAAAGGCGAAGAGGAAGAAGAAGAAGAGGAGGAGGAGGAGGAGGAGGAGGAGGAAGAGGAGGAGGAGGAGGAGGAGGAGGAGGAGGAGGAGGAGGAGGAGGAGGAGGAGGACATAAGAAGAAGACGAAGAAGAAGAAAGTAAACTTGTTTACAACTAGGCTACATGTACATGTTCAACATACAAGTACATGTACATATATAATTTGCTACAAAACAGTAAAATCAGAAATCATTAGTATCTTTATTACTATGAAAAAATGTTTTCAGTCAAGTCTGACAGCACTGCTGTCACTGCCGGCCATAACATTCACTCCACATAGTCATATGAATATATATTTTGTACAATGTTTCCATCAAGTTAAGACATCTATATATATAAAGAATAAAAATATATATTATAATGGCAGGCAGCACCTGACTGTAAAGGACAACTGCATGACACTGCCACATTTATATGGGAAACAAATAGACTAAGTCATACGTCACTTTTCAAAATGGCGTACGGTGGAGTCTTCCACTGAGCAGGTGAAACAGACATAGAGTGGTGTAGCCCCTGCGCGTGCGCCTTCTCAGTTCGTGCACTTTTGTTTTTAGTCGCAAATTGCATTTTTGCGTTGATTGGATGCGTCAGTTTGTGCAGGTGCCATTTTTGTTCGCTTCCATCACATGCTCGTCGACAAGGCATCATCGAGAGGGTTTTCATCAACTGTGATAAGTTGACATTCTACACTGACTTGTGAACTTGTTTTGATGACTTATTAGTTTCTGATTGGTTGAAATTGACTGTGCGCGTCCCCTAGCTTAAAAAATGTGCTTACTCTTCCTGGAGTATTTCAGGTGACCTATCATCGATTTTTATGCCAAATTGTAATGCGGGTTGCTGGATTGGGAGGGAGCACGTGTAGTGAAGACTGAAAAAACTCTAGTTTTCTCAGCGCATGCAAAATGAATGTTGTAGAAATTTTTAGCCAAAAGTAGACACAAATTTAGTGATCATTTTGTGCAGCACTTTTCAACTTGTTTAATAATGAAAAGAGAGAGAATAGATTACCGGTAATAGTTGAATCAAGAAGATAAAAAGGAATGGGACTGAAAACTGAAAAGGGACGGGAGGGTAGAGCTGTGGTGATAAATGTATGATAAAATCCCCCCCCCCCCACGTGTGTCTCTCTCTGTGCTCTCCCTCCCTCACTCTTTTCTATCTTCTTTTAATAAATGGTGAAATGGTATGAGTTTAACGCCCCTATCAACATTATTAGGTTATTTATTAAGAGGCGGGACCTCCTAGTTTAACGTCCGTCTCCGATAGGACCGTCCCTCCCTCTCTCTTAAATTCAAATATAATATGCTAATACTATCTCCCTCATTTTTTGCCTCCAGAACAAAGACGAACCAAATAAAGGCAAAATACACGAAGGAACAGCTTGCCTTGGCTTTGGAGGCTGCTACATCTGGCTCGATGTCTCAAAGCAAGGCTGCAGCTCTCTATGGGATTTCCTCCCACTATGCTCATGGAGAAGATACGAGGGAGATCTGAGGAAGAGAATGGTCTTCCAAAAACGGTGTTGACTAACCAGGAAGAGGATGAGATTGCGAAGTGGGTAATGGAAATGAGTCGAAGAGGGTTTGGCAGAACAAGAGATCAGCTTTGCCAGTCAGTAAAAAACTTTTTGACAAAAGCCGCTGCTCTTCACCATTCATTAACAATTTGCCAGGAAAAACCTGGTACTATGCATTTAGGAAACGCCACCCAGAGACTGTGCTACAACAGCCTCAGGCACTGGGTGTGCAGAGGGCTTACGTCTCAGAAGAGAGCTTAAGGGGGTAGTTCGAGGAGCTCAAGACTACCATTCTGGGGATTGATGGTGCCAGATTACTGCTGGAACCTGCCCGTATTTTTAATGCGGATGAAAGTGGTTTCAAACTGTGCCCCAAAAGTGGACAAGTTATGGGCGTGAAGGGTGACAAACACATTTACACAATTACAAGTGACAATAGGACCACCATAACATGTCTAGCTTGTGCAAGTGCAAACAATCAATTTGTAACACCAATGTTGATTTTCCCTGGCAAGCAATTCAATTACAACCCCTTGAAAGGATTTGAAGACCATGCATATATGGGGAAGTCCAGCAATGGCTAGATGGTGAGCTGTTGGCTGGCTGGATCAAAGATGTGTTTGTTCCTCAGACGAAATCAATAAAGAAACCAGTGCTTCTTTTGTGGATGGTCATGCCAGCCATGTCACAAAGGAAGCTAGCACGTTGTGTGAGGAAAATGATGTCATCATTTATGGCTTGCTTCCACATTCGAGCCAGATCATTCAGCCGTTGGACTCCATTAAAAAAATTGGAGAGTGGCAGTTCTTGATTACCAAGAAAGCTTGAAAAGCATCGTGAGCAAGACTACCTTTGCTTCTGTCTTCAAGAAGGCCTGGGATACAACAGTTTCCAGACACGAAGGTGAGCAAGGAATTGGGGCATTGCGCTTCAAAAAAGCAGGACTATTCCCTCTTGATGCCAATGCTCTGGACTGGAATAAAGTGAGAAGAAACACGACATTCAATCCAACAGTCACAACTTCACTCCAGCCAGGGGCGTCCACCACCCCAGAGCAGCCAAGAGCACCCACAGCTACTCTGCAGCCAGCGATGACCACAGCTCCTCAGCAGCTAGCGATGACCACAGCTCCTCCGCAGCAGCCGGCAACTACAACTTCAAGTCCACTCCAGTCATTTCAAAAACACTTGAATGAACTTTTAGATTTGACTCTGACTGCTGAATGTGTGATTAAGCATGGAAGTAGGGGAGTGAGAATTTTCAAAAGGAGGTATGAGGAAGGTTTTGATGTGTGTGAGGAAGAATGTTTTTGTGCCTGGAAAGAAAAATACCATCTTCTTGTCTCAACGGCACCAATGCAAACATTACCACCACTTACCACAGCCCCCATAAGTCAAGCACCACGTTCATCGAGGTCAGATTCCTCTCTAATAATGCAGCAATGTTTTGCATATCCTCAGGGTTGGGGGAAAAAGGGAAATAAAAATAGCAAAAACAGACAATGCCAAGATTACTCAGTGGAAAGGCGTGCAGAGACCTCCACGAAGAAAAACAGGCAAAAAAACAGAGAGCCGAACGGAAAGAAGAGCGAAAAAGAATGAGAGATAGAAAAAAATCGAGAAAGAGATAGCCAGAAAACAAAGAGATAAGAAAGAGCTTAATAGACAAGAGGAGAGGAAGAAATAGCGTGAAAGACAAAAATTAATCAATAATCTCCCCCCACTCCAGAGTCCTGTACTTCACTGTGCTCAGAACGCGCACAGGTTCACTGACCGGCAAGGAGGTTACAGTCAGTGAGCCCGAGAAGACGCTTGTATAACTTTATTTTTTTATTTTTTGACCCCTCAAGTGACAGCACAGTGATGAATTATATTGATTATTTTCATGGCGACACCACGTTTGTAATGCAGAACCTACATGTTACAAATGTTGCGTTATCAGACTATTACATGTACTGACAAATTCCTGGGTGGCATCAAGATTTTTAGCCTGTGCGAATCTGTTTATATCAATAACAATGACCTATAATCTGTTTGTATTGGTATTTTGCGTCAGACAAAAACGAATGATGAAAAAAAATTGTGCAACACCTATTTGAAAATTTCGACTTACAGCATTTTCTCAGCTCTACAAGTCCTTATAATCCAAAGGAAACAACACAAAATTGTAGCGATATCACCCTAGCACACATTTATGCAAGAATTTCACGAAGTTAGTTGAATATCTGTCTTTGAAGGGCCTTTTTCTTATACCTGGCTACGTGTTATTTACCCTTAGATCTAGCCTACATAGCGACAACAAAACAACGATTTTTGAAAGAATTTCGCGGAGTTTCGATTGATATTGGCGCTCAGAGATTGAAGTCAGGTTTGTTTACAAGTACTACTTCCTTTCGACAACTTATAAAGTAGGAACCAAGTTAAAAAGTGCACATTTGTTTCGGATTTCGTTGAGCCGCTCACAGCGGCCGAACGGATGCAGTGGAGAAAGTCAGAGCCGCTGTCAGCGGCCGAATGGACGGAATCAGTTAATGCACAAATGTTATCAGATTTCTCTTCTGTTGGCTTTCAACTTGTATATATGAATGCACGCACAGTAAGGAATCCCATGTACGTACAGAGAAGATATGCACGCACAGTAAGGAATCCCATGTACGTACAGAGAAGATATGCACGCACAGTAAGGAATCCCATGTACGTACAGAGAAGATATGCACGCACAGTAAGGAATCCCATGTACGTACAGAGAAGATATGCACGCACAGTAAGGAATCCCATGTACGTACAGAGAAGATATGCACGCACAGTAAGGAATCCCATGTACGTACAGAGAAGATATGCACGCACAGTAAAGAAAATCCCCAAGGTTGGAAAAACTGTTGGGCACACAGCGTTAAAAAAATTTGCAACTATGAGCAAGACCATTTTATAGGTCAATATTTTCTTGAATGGAATAGTTGAAAAAGAAAGTAGGAAGCCGGAAATAGTGGAAAATAGGTTCAAAGATCAAGAAGTGCACGCGAACGGGAGACACCACTCTAGGTGAAACAATCAGCTACGACAACAGTTCATCCACACATTCCGTGACCCCCGGTCGCCTCTTCAAATGGGCCTCGATAATCTTGGAGAACTCATTCCTCTTCAACAGCTGATACGCCAAAGGCAAAAGGGTTTCTATTTGTGAGTGAAAGATTTTTCCTCCAAAGGAGAAGAGGTCGAGACCCAGCTCCAGGCCCTCGCCGTAGTCACACTCGTCGTTGGCAAACTGGACCAATGTGATCAGCTCGTGCAGATCCTCCATGTTTTTATCTCGCTCCGACTCACCCTTCGACTCCGAGATCTTTCGGAACATGGCGCGCAAATCGCCTGAGGAAATAATAATTGTAAAATTATTTATTAATCAATAATAAATGGCATTTGCTTTGAGCACACCGCTCAACTACAAGCTCTAAGCCCTTTACAAACTATATTATCACCCCAGCAGACGCAAGAAGACTGAGAAACATTCTCTGCTTCCTGGTGAACATTATAATATGCAAGCAGACGATAAAGCACTCAACACAAATTGACAAGATCTTTTGCTTTCTAAAGCCAGGTACCCATTTCCACTTGGGCGAAGTGAGAAAAAAAATCTCATATAAAGTGCCTTACCCAAGAACAAAAAAATGGGTTCAATGTTCGGTTGCACGCCCAACAGCCTCACCACTAGATATTCACAATAATGACAACAGTGATGATAAAAGATTAGAATTTAATCACGAGCACTCAGTTCCAAAACAACAGTCTTTGTGCTGTTCATATATATTTAAGTTTGAAAAAAGAAAAGCACATGGACACGGTGATGATCATGAAGTGCCAGGAAAAAATGGGACAGACAGAAACAATAGATGGAAGGAGGGAAAAGAAGACCCATAGTGTAAAGCGCATAGAGCTTGCTTTCGAGTGGGGATATGCGCTATACAAATGCTATTTATTATTATTATTATTGCATTTTCTGTCCTTCAATTTTGATTCAACAGTTAAGTTATTGTGTAAAAGTTTTGCATTGTAATGTTCAGAATGTTCAGGGACTAGGCGCTATATAAACTCCCATTACAATTATTAAATTACTCTTGTGTAATCTAGGAATAGATTGACAAGTTACAAAGCTATAATCTTTCAACTTTTTTTCACAACCCCCACACATAAATTTAAATAAAATATATATATAATTATGGAATGTGATTTTTTAAAATTAAAAAAAATATATATATATAATTATGGAATGTGATCCTTTTATGAAGCCCAGGAATTTCCGAAAAAATGGCATCCATGCTCTAGGGGAAGGTAGAAATATCTATTATTTCACTGCTGAGCTCACCGATGGTCTCTGGCACAGGCCTGTAGCCCACTTCGTTGTCGTCTACCGGCACCACGATACCCGCACTGTGGAACGTCGGGCAGACCACCTTCTTCTGACGGCTTTTCATCTGTTTGGTGGAAGCCTCCAGGGGAAGCTTATGTTTGGCTGCTGCCTCCTCAATGGACTTGATCAGAGTCTGGATGTCCTTCTTTTTATTTGCTGCTGCTGTCTTGACTTGTTTAGATGCATAAATGCTGTAAAATGAAAAGGATACTCATAGAAGTATTGGTTTGTCTACCTAAAAACAAGCACATTTACAGAACAAAGGTCATTTAGTGCAGGAAAAATCAAGACTGACACACAGTGAAAACAGAGGGAAAGAAAAATAAAAAGGACCTACCAGTGGCACCCTCCAACCACTCCAACTGGAATAGCATCAACAATAAAAAAGTTAACCAGTAACTTCCTGTCCGGCCCAACAGAATACAAAGATCACAACAATTTACACATGGAAATGAACTGAATAGCAACTTAATTGGCATAAAATTCAGTATCAGTAATCCCTTATCATACAAGCCCTAGGCGTAAAAAAAACCAAACAAACGAGGCACATTTATGTAAAACCTGAAGAAAACCATTCCTAACCTTACTAATGAACATATTATGTGCACTTCTTCGACAACCGGGACTTGCTGCATACATGTAGGCATCTCCCCCAACCCCAACAATGTACAGTCCAGTATGTATGCATGGGAAGATTTGCCGAGACATAAGAGAAGACGGTAAAAGAGATGAGAGGTTACGCAGTAGGAAAACAACAATTAAAAACAAATTTTGCACTGATTTTTTCTATGTCCAACTCACATAGTTATCATGGCCTAAAGCAAAGTGAAGAAAACACTGACCTATCTAAAGACATACACACCCTCACTGTAAAAAGCAAAGGTGTCCTCTGATGTAATGTGTAGTTTTAGTAAAAAGTTTTACAGAACTTGCAACACAATTGATTCACATGAGAGTAAAAGTTGAAGATTAGTGGTGTGTTACAAGAGAGAAAAAAAAAAGAAAAAAAAGAGAGAGATAAGGACAAAAGATGTCTGATAGGAAAGAAGTAGGAAACCACACTAGACCAAAGCACATGCCAAAACTGCCTCTTTTCAACCTTGAACAGCACATTTTACAATCACAAAAAATATTGTTCTTCTTCCTTACTGTTACTGGTGCTCCCAACTGACCAAAAAATTAATCTATGCAAGATAGTTAATTTAACAAGAAAAAACTAAATTGTCAAGTCGCACATACACCTTTGAAATAACTTTTTTTTTTAATACAGGGGAGTCAGCTTTAACCCGAACGCGGCTGACCCTATTACAGGCAAGTGCCGAGGAAATTGGCACTTTCATTGCCACCAGACTGTTACTGCCGTACGAAAATGTGTACTACTGAGAGTAATGGGTTAATCACAAAACAGCAGTAAACTGAAAGAAACAGTAAACTGAAAGAAAAGAAAATCCCCATTTTTTAAAAACTTCTACTAGAACAACCTCTTTAAGCTGAAAACTCCAGCTAAACCGAAAAGAAAATTTCGGCAGTCCCACACATTTCAGTTTAAGCGAACTCCACCATATTTTCTTCTACATACTGCACAGCTGCAAACAGGTTTTCCCCGCACTGATGGATTTTATCCCTGGGCGGCTGGCCGGGGGAGTTGCTTGCCACAAACACAGGAGTTTCTTGGGGGTCGTCTCTGAAACAGAAAGGTGGACTTGAAGCACAGGGGATTTTTTAAAAAATAAAAAAATTCTCCCAACATTGGCGTTTCGCCCCCCCCCCCCCCCTCGAAATCGAAACAAGTAGATCATTTAGGGGGCAGGCTTCCGACCCTGCCTGTCAGGGATACAACATCCCAGCAGAAAGACGAAAAAAACTTGATAAAAATCCCCCCACTCCGGAATTGAACTCAGGTCCCCTGCATGTGCAACTGATGGATTTTATCCCTGGGCGGCTGGCCGGGGGAGTTGCTTGCCACAAACACAGGAGCTTCTTGAGGGTCATCTCTGAAAGAGAAATGTGGTCTTAAGGGTTTTTAATTTTTTACTTTAAAAAAAATGTAGGCTTTCTTACGTCCCCATTAACACAATTTAGATCATTTAGGAGGCAAGCCTCTGACCTTGCCTGTCAGGGCCAACCCGAGCCGAGAGGGATACAACATCCCAACAGAAAGACGAAAACAAATTGATAAACCACCCCCCTTTCCCAGTAACTGCTACACTACAGATGCCAATGCAGAGGGGTTGAAAGTGTACATGGCCTTAAGAAAAGACAGACAGCAATTGAAATTACCATGAATGAAGTAAAAACAATAAGACATCATAAAAAAACGCAGCTCAGGGTAAGTGTTGTATTACAACAATACACCATCACTAGACAAATTATAGCGAACAAAGAGATTAAAGTAAAAAATACAGATAAAAATAAGCATGGTGCAAGTTTTTCCCTAACCTCTTCTCAACATAAATATAATCCATACTACAGAAATGTTCAAACCCACTGCAAACAAACACAAAAAAACCTTAACAGAATTAAAACAGGCTAAATAAACATCTGATAAATCTTTTCATGGAAATTGATTTAAAAGGTTCATCACCCATAACCACAACAGAGCCCCCCAAATAAAAACAAAATCAAAACTCACAAGAATGAGACACCAGCAAAAATCCACAAATAAATAAAATTAAGAAGACAAAATGTCACAAAACAACCAAATTACAACACCCACCCCCTTTCTCAATCAAAACTTGTCTTAAATTTAAAAAATATTCATATCAATTCAGGGACAATGAATAAATTGAAAAAAAAAAAAAAATACAGGACAGAGAAACATGGTCTAGCATTTAACATCAAATTTAACATTTAAAAAATCAACTTCTAAATCATACCTATAATATCCCAGATGAAACTTTGTGTCATCGTCGGCAGCAATAACAGTTTGAAACTCCGGTGGGTCGTAGTAGTATCTGTAGTGTAACAGGAAGTTGGGCCTCCGCCCTCTCTTATTTCTCGTCACGCCTTTATGGCGCCCCGCTACAACATCAAAGGGTCCAACCAGTCGAAGGCTCAAACTTTTCTTCAAGGCATCTGAGAAATAGAAAAATTGAGCAGTAAATATTTTGTGCATGATGTACGTGAAACTTGTATCAGATCAATCTATTTTCAGCAAAGGTATAATATTATTACTATATGTAGTCATTCATAATAATATACAATAGAATCCGCTTAAACTGAAATCTACATTCAATTCTGAGCTGAATAAAAGCAGTAACAAAAAATAGCTGTGATGGATGACATAGTTGTTGGTTTTTTAAATAATCTTTTTGTAAGTTACCCTCGACCCCAACCAGTTCACCCAGAAATTGTTCAGCACAACAGGGAAGTGGAACGGTTTAAACTTAGCGCTGAACGAGTTATGTGCGCGTTACTTCTGACCTGTGTCTGTTTTACTTTTTAACATCAAACCTATCAGGGAAGAAAAACTATCAACCACACCATTTATCGTTTCCCAGAGAAAACTTTAAAAGCTCAGTTTAGCATGCACATAGAGAAATTAGAGAGACATTGAATTTACAAATTTTGCTATCTACATGTTTTACAAGCAAAGAACGCAGTATAACATGTATAGATCGAACACAGAAAACTCGAATTCAGGCATCCGTCGAACTGTGCCTGTGGTCCCATTTTTTTTTTTTTTGGTCTTTGTAAGATATCCCTCGAACTACCGAGACCGGTCCCAACGAATTCAAGCTATAAGTGTTAAACTGTACAAGTGAAAGTAAAAAATGGGGACCCGAAAATCTGTTAGCATTGTGAGTGTTCACTGTGGGTGTGCTTGACTGTAGTCAAAAATAAAATGCACATAAGGAGTACTTGGTCTTTTACTCCCACCGTCATTGGAATAAAAGGAGGTCCTTTTATCAAAATATAAAACACGGCCAAAATTTTACATACGAGATGAGTCGTGCAAAAACTTGTCTCGGAATTTTGTCTCACCTTGAGGTTTTGATGGATTCAGACACTTGCAAAACTCCCAGAAGAGGAAAAAATCCTCGGGCATTTCAACGAGGAATTTTGCCTTGATACTTTCTTTGATGTCCTCAGGTGATGCTGGGGCCTCATCGTCTTCCTCTTCCACATCTTCATCATTTTCCTGAGCCTCTTTGGAAGAATTAGTTTCAACCACTTCACTGCTAGAAGAAGCAACATCTTTTGAAGAACTGTCAGTCTTTGCCTTTTTCGTCTTTGGTCCATCATCGTCTTCATCTGCATTTGAGATAAATAAAAGAAATTGGCACATGAACGTTCAGCGAAAATTAATATTTACTCACACTAACAAACCCAAGGAACCTACACAAAACTAAAAGACTAAATCACACCTTGCTTGAGGTTTAAAAAAGACTACATTCATAGGTAATGAATGAATCTGTTGTCTGAGTCAGAGCTACCCCCCCCCCCCCCAGAAAGAAAAAAAAAACAGTAAAAAAAACCCACCCAGTACTGTCACTATACCACCCAACATAAACAGCAGGGAAAAAGACAGAAAGAAAATAAGAAGAAAAAACTTTATTAGGACTTTCCGTCCTACCATTACCACCAAATGAAAACGTTTTCTGACAATCCCATAGACATAAAAGACCTTTTGTTTGTTTTAGTAAGGTTTTACAGCGCTCGCAAATCTGCATACCGCCATATGAGCACCAAGGGGTGAATGTCAACAGAGAAGTCCAAACGGGGAATCAGGCTTACTCTGCTCACCTCTCTAGTCTCAACAGCACAAAGTCTGCTTCGATTATCAAGGCACCATGGAAATAACAGTTCACAAGAGAAAGACAAACAATTCAAACATAAAAAAGAAGTAGAAGAAAAATTAAGATAGTAAGGATGAGAAAAGAAAAAGCAGCAGGTCCCCCATATGTTGTTCCGGCACAGTATGAGCATGACATTGATCAGCCCAAACAATTCTACTGTGCATAAGAACATGTTAATACCCCCCTTTGGGAATGGCCTAAAGACAACTTCAGACAGTACCACTGCCCTGAGGGGCGAATAAAAGACCTTGAAGCCTAAGAGTAGCAAAACAATAAATTATTTAAGTCTGCACCCCCTCCCCCCCATTATTATTTATAATTATATATATATATAATATATTATATATCCGAATTAGACAGCAAAAAAGTGAGACTGAAAGAAAACTCTTTAAAATCTAACCATTATTCATTTAATCACTATTGAAATCAAATAGTTTGCATTCATATCATGTTTACATAAAATACATTTTTTAAAAGATTTTAACTCGAAATTCCACACACGTTGTGGCCCACTGGTAAGTACAATTTTGCACCCAAAAATTACATTCGTAATCCTACTAATAAATCATTTTTCTTACAAGAAGAGAGTCATAGTTAGTATACTTGTCGAAAGTAACGAAAGCGACAACTTCAACTAAACAATATAAGAATGAAGGGAAATGGAGAAAATAAGAGCACCTGATTCTGATAAATCATGGGTTTTCCCAAAATAATCTCTGATTGTCTTCTTTTCATTTCCTTTAACATCTTTGTTGCCTTTCCTGGTTCTCACAGTAGGTGGGTCTTCAGAGCTTTCCTGACAAGGAAAATATAAAGAGAATTATTTTAAAGAAATAGTAAAAAGAAAACAACTGATCGCCTAGAATTTTTCAGTTGTGTACAAATATGAAGTCGTGAAAAGAAAATTCTAAATATTTCAATTTCTACACATAAAAATTTTCCAACAAAAACTGCAGAAAAAGGTATTCAAACATAAAATCCACGCAAAAGTATAACATGAGGAGTTACACAGATTTTTTTATTTTAAAAAATGCTGACTGATTGTTAAGAGAATGAGAATGAGAAGCAAAGTTAAAGTAACTAGTCATTGCACTGAAAGAATAGCTTTGGGTCACAAGGAGTAACACTGTACAATAACTGTAAGGAGCTGAAACTATTGAAAGTTCCCACAATTCACAGTGGAATTGTAAGTGCATTAATAAAACCGGCACTGAAGTTCGCATTAGACATAGAGCGGGCCTCAGTTGGCATGATCTCTGCCTGCAACCATTCTAAATCATTCTCTGTGTGTACAGATTACAATCAGAGAGATCACAGACAAAATATACAAAGGCATTGGGCAGTTGTTTTTTTTATATAAACTTTGACTTTGTATGGCAAGGTCTACAAAATCATTATAACAATTCTATATGATATGCTGCAGCCAAAAATAGTGATTTGACCTTCGAACTCCATAGAAGTACATCTGCGAGCGCGAGTGAAAGTAAAAACGAACCGTTATGGGTGTGGTTTAGTGTGTGAACTCAGGTAAAGCTTGGATGATTTCGTATTTCCGTTCGTTAGAGTCCAAGAACCATACGCCAGAGACCATGAAGTGCCAGGGTATCGAAGAAGAAAGAACTAAGTGTGAGACCGGAAGGAAAAACTAATGCCAGGAAATCAAACGCCATACAACAAGCCAAAGAGGAAAAAAAAGAAAGACCAAAAACAAAGCAATAGACAGATTTTTCTAAAAATTAAATCATTTTGACATTGTGTAGGCTACTCACCAAATCACCCTCAAAGATTCACTGAAGAACACAGCAAAGTAAAGACCAAAGCTTGAAAAATTCCATTTATAATAATCCAAAAGCTTGAAAAAATAACTTGAAACTTGAAAACCAAATGAAATTAAGTTTTACAGAGCACAACCAGCATTAGCCAACAAGGGATTAAACGTTGTAGAAGGTAATCCAGTAAAGAATATTTCCAGTCTTTGCTCTTGAACTCCTTTCTCCAAATAAACTTCGACAGACAGGATAATGATTCAAATATAAGGAGGTGTCAGAGGTGCCCTCATGTATGGCCCTGCATTTACTTTTTGCTTCACTCCAGCATCCTTCTATTTGGTTCGTGTGCACCGTTCTGTCTGCTGGGTCCATAAAAAGGAGAGTGATTCATCGAAAAATCATATGATTGGGCAATTGACGATATCTCGCCCACTCATCAGTCAGTGAATATATCCTTGTCCCGGGTAAAACATGAGCCTGAATGATGGGCAGGAGTGTGGCAGCTGACCTGTCAGGCACGGGCACCAATGTAATCACAATTATAATTTTATCACTGCCACCCATTTCCACAATACCGAGGACCCAGTGTCCCTCTCTCACTGACTCACTCTGTACGATCCTCTACTACTGTGGTATTTGTGATGCATAATTTGCTCTTGTGGACTTCCACCGTCTCATTGGGACCAACCACCTGAGTGGGATGGTCAATCCAAGTGGGCTACTGCCTCTGGGCACACACGTAATGATGAAATTTTGTCAGTCAACAACAACAACAATGGTGAGAGCAGTGTAGCCCGAGAGGCAGTTTCCCTGGCCACATGAAACTGACGCAAATCAGTGGCCCACCAGTAAATGATGTTCAGCAGCTTAAATTATATTAATTAGAGCCTTCAAAGAACAACCCTTTCCTCATATCTTATTTAATGGGAGTGTATACAGACCCAGTAACCGGGAACAAAGTCACAAAGTATACAGACCCGGTAGGGGAACTCTTTTGTGACTTCGGACAGTTTCAGCGTCCTCTTGGCTCAGGGTAGACCTAGGTTCTTCTAGATCTATGGCCTAGGCTAGGTCTAGATCTAGACAGACAGACATAAATCATTGATCTAGTTTCAAGGCTAGCCTAGATCTAAATGAAGATTGCGGATGTCTTTTCAATGAACGATCGTTTTTCCTCCGTTTTGGAGTTGGAGGAATCACAATTTGAAGAAAAGAACAATGTCATAATTTCTCTCGAGCAGCCATCCTCTCTATTTCTCTCTTTCTCTCACTCGCATTCTCTTTTTCTTTGTTTGTCTCTGTCTTTCTTTCTCCCCACCCATTTCCCAATCTTTCTCTTGTTCCCTCCTGCCAACTGGGGCATGTCATACATTTTGCTGCTCACTTCCCCCTGCTCTCTCTCTCTCACACACACACACTACCGGGTCTGGGCGCTGAAACTTTCCGAAATCACAAAAGAGTTTCCTTACCGGGTCTGTATACCTCGTGACTTTGTTTTTCCCGGTTACCGGGTCTGTATACACTTCGTTATTTAATTTGTCTAACGTCGGCACTACTTGGATATGGTGGTCCCCACTTTTGTGACAGGGAAATATAACCTAGAGAAAATCTAGAACGATCACTTTTGGTTCTAAGTCTAAACGATTACTTTTTGATTCGCGTGCCGGAGAGATAGCCTTTCAAACCTAATTGCAAAAATACATCAAATCATGGTCAAATTCAGAGGGGCATGCCCCCCTGAAACACCCAAAGTTTTGTTTTTTTTAAAATAGGGGGGCAACCCCCCTTGCTTTGTGAAAAACAAGTGAATTTTTACTGCTCATTTTCATTGTAGGCTAGATTTAGAATCTAGGCTACTGATAAACCATAAAGGAAGTGGCTATCCTCACCCGGGGTGAGAATAAAAATACGATCGACCTCTCACCCCGGGTGAGACTTGCCACCGTTTGCTATTCTCACCCGGTGTGAAACAAGACCTGTTTTTCCTACTTTCGGAATCCTTTCTATCTGTGTGGATGATCAAATGGATAAAAGCAAAGAAAAAATTACGTTATAGCTCAAAATTTAAGCTAATTTGATAGCAATGCCAATCAGGCTTTCCCGCGAGGCGAAAATTTGGTCCCCGTTTACGGGCGATTTTGCGGACCCGGCCGAAGCGTAGGTGACTAACTTTGTCAACCTCGGTCTGCTCTATTTCCGAACCAATCCGAATGAAACTCGGCAACCAATCAGAAAATAGGGCAAACTAATGATATGTAGACGTTGAAGTTCGTACACATAATTTACCCTATACTTTTGGTGTCGGGAACACTTTCGTATCGTGTACACCGAAAACTATAAGGAGTTTGAATTTCAACGCCGAGATGGTAATAGATCTCTATCCTCTATAGTGTGCTCAAATTTGAACTTTCTGTGTCAAGTAGTTGTTTAGACCCGATCATAAATGCACGACTACCCCCCTATCCAAAGCGGCTTCGCACGGAGACCGGCCATTTTCCCCTCACTCTCGTGGCAAATGTATGTGACCTACAAATCCCAGGATGACTATTCCGGGCCCGTTCATTGGTCACTTGAAATAGGGCAATGGCGGGCGCGTGCATCCGGTTGTTTTTCTCTCTATTCCCCTGTAACATCGCTATGGGGGTATTCCGAGGCGAGGTTATCTCGCCTCGGGGTGTTCGCGTCTCAACGGGGGAAAAAGAATTTTTAATTGTACGGCATGCTAGATTGAATAAACTTATCTTTTAAGGTTGGCATGGTCTAAAGTCATCATAAAAAGCTTTGCAATTATTTAGTCACGCTGCCGACATATATTCTTAAAGATCCCATGTTGTGATACGATGCTATTAAATAAAATGGACTCATCCCGACACCCCTTTTTTCGCAAAATCGTAATATGTACACCATAATTTTAATATAAAAAAAACTACGAAATTGGTAGTAAATCTGACTGCAGAAATGATTTCTACACTCAAAAATACATCGGGTAGCCAAGTTTCTCTCGAACACTCTGATTAGTTACCGAGATATCGTCGATTTTCTTACAGAATCTGTTACTGCGTGGTCCACTTTTTAGGAGTATTTTCCTATATGTGGGTCATCCATATTTTGCCGACCTTTACAACCCCATAACTTTTTTATTTATGAACCGATTCTCAAAATTCAAGAAGCATAATTCTTAGAATGGAAAATTCTTTCTTAGGTACCAAAAAAAAGGGGACAAAAGTGAAAATTTAAATTTTCATTGGCATTGCTAAATAATTTGATCGTCTACAAAGATGCTATGGCTATTTCACTTTTCGAATCGAGCCGAACTACGCGGGTCGCCATTTTGTTTTGCCCGGAAGTTCTAGCAAGATCTACTCCTCCCCTCTTCTCTCTCTTTCTGAATACTGTCTATAGGTGTGGACGATCAAACTGACCAAAACAAAGTTAAATAATGATGTTAAAACACAAAAGTAAATTAATTTGGTCGTCTACAAAAGATGCTACGGCTATTTAACTTTTCGAATCGAGCCGAACTGCGCGGGTCGCCATTTTGTTTTGCCCGAAACTTCTCCCGCTACTCCCCTCTCTCTCTCTCCACTACCCACAGACAAAATTGTACGCTTTATTATATAGTTATAGGCTAACAATAGTAATGGAACATTTGCTCACGGCACAGAATTCTACAATATTTCGGTTATCACAGCGTAGAATTCTGTGGTTCAGGGTGAACACAAAATTGGTTGGCCTAGAGATCTAGGCTATAACGGTGAACTACGGTGAACGCACACCGGGTGAGAATAGCCAAAGGCCGTCATTATTCGGACTTGAGTCCAAATAACATTTCTCGAGTCCGAATAAAAAAATTTCATATTCAGACTCCAGTCCGAATAAAAAAAAAAAAGTTATTCCGACACGGGTCCGGAAAAAAAGGAAGTGTCTTCGTTCTATAGATATTTAACGTTCAGTGCTTCCAATTTTCCGCCATGTTTTAGTTTCCCCCACACCTTGGCCTTGTCTGCTGATCCGATGCCCGCCGCCTCATTGATACGCCCCCCCCCCCCCCATGTTTCCCACTTTCTTTGTTGTAGAAAAAGGTAAAATTGAAGATAAGCAGATCTCCTGGCACCTGCATATTATGAGCTGTGAAAAGAAAAAAAGACTGATTCGTTCATATACACAAGCCTGTGTCATCTCGATTGTTTACTTAGAAAAAGTTGTGTTGCTGTGTAGAGCCGAGCATACGGCAACTTTTGATTCCATAGACCAGCGCACAATTCATTACGTAGATCTACGTCAAGACTAGCTTATTATTGTAATAATGATCAGTTGCGGGGGGGGGGGGGGACTGACGCGTATGCGACGTTCAACGCCCGGACCAATAGCGCCCCCCTCCCCCGACACGCACACACAGCCACACGTGTGCAGGCCGCCTATCCGACCCCGACGCACGCTAACGGCTAACGAGCCATCTTTAATTACTTCTGATGACCTCTTGACAAATAAACATTTATTAGAAGCGCTCTAACTTTTCAGGCCGGCCTCAAATTCATCATAAGATAAAAACTCGGCTCCAGCACAATTTAACGCCATTTTGCCCGAAGTGATCCCGGTCTCTACCCAGCCTGTTGCGAGTCACGAGTGAGGCAGGACAGGAAGCCGGAGTCAGGAGTCACAGGAAGTCGGAAGTGATGTCGTCATGCTGGATAAGAATCAGAGTCCGAATAACATTTTTTCATATTCGGACTCGAGTCCGAATAGTCACTTCGATAGCCAAAAGACTCGCCTGCGCTATTATTCTCACCCGGGGTGAGAATAGAGGTGGCCAACACTTATAAAACATTGATACCGTGACTATTTGAATCAGTATCGATATTTCAGTTGCCTACACTACATAAAAGTCGGGACCACCATATATCCAAATAGTGCCCTGACGTCTCTGCTGGCGGCACGACCAAAAGCACATCCTCAACAAACAATCACCACTGCAATCGAAGTATTCCCGCTCTCTCCTTTGTCGGCTAACAAAAAACTAACATTAGAATCCATATGAGCATTCTATAAGAATGAGTACCTCTTCATCGTTTCCACGCGGATGCGAGTAGTTCTGCAAATGCTGGGTGTTTTTGCGGTAGCATTTACTACCATATTTGCAATCTGGCTTAGTCTGTGTTATTTTCTGCTTGGGAACTGCCGCCATTTTTCTTGTTTCAGTTTCTTTACTTGCTTACTTCCGGACTAAGGCAAGGCAAGGAAGGAGGCATGCCAAGGCCAAGGCCACAGCTATATTCGTAGAAAAATTGTTTCGCAGTTGAAAGTTTGTATTATAATACATAATTTCACAACAGTGTGTCACTCTAACAGCAATTTAAGAGATTCCTACAGCAACAACAAAATCTGTAGGCCTACATTTTCACCCTAGTTTTGCTACATGTATTTATTGTTTAGTGAACAGTTGACTTCGTTTGCCAGCAGTGAGTCTGTTTTGCAAAAGAATATTTTGCAATGTCGTGCATATGATTATACATGGATATATTATATTAAAAGATTATTAATAGATAAATAAATAAACTAATTAGTATATCAATGAATAAATGAAAAAAATTGGATAAATAATAATTTTTTTAAACCCAATCATACTAGCAGATTCAGAATGTGACTCCCCCTGAGAGAAGCTCTATGGCAGTCTCTCATATTTGAAGCGGACTGCACAGTTTGTGCACGACATCGAGCTGACTGTCTCTGCTGTCATCGAGAACGAGGAATTAGAAGAAGAAAAGAAGAAGAAGAACAAGCAGATTAAAAGTAAAAGAAATCATAGAGTATAAGTCAAAATCTAGAGACCGTCTGCCCTCAATGAAAACTCATCTGCTGCCCATAATTAATTTAATCCCACTGCTCCTTCCTTTGTACAAATATTGAACATCAAATTATGGATGATATCAAGAGGGGGGGGGGCTAAATCTCTCCATTTTGTTATTGTCTTTTTACCTCAGGGGCCCCTCCCTGAAACCCCGTGGATTGGTCCAAAGCGTGGACAATTAGGCCTACAACAAAAGATCGTGTACACACGCCATTTAAATTAGGCTCAATGTAATGTAGAGAATTAGAAAAACAAAACAAGCAATTTTGCCCAGTGCTACGAGAAACTACCTTGGTAACGAAAGAGGGTCGAGGGGTGCAAAATCTATAGCAGTGACCCAAAATGTCACGTACGTGGAGTGGTGGCCCCTATGATTGTGAATGCGTTATATTGGGTTTGAGGACGTACAGCTTGACTTTGCCCTTATCCGAGACGGCTAGGAGTAGATCTTACCTACTTTAATTAAGATCAAGGGTGTGGCTGAACCAAGAGTAGCAGTTAGAAAGGCTGCAGAAAGAGTGAGCAGGAGCCAAGAGGAGGGGGCAAAAGAGGGGGGGGGGGGACAGAAATTAAGACAAAAGCCGATTACAGAACATTGTTAGAGAGCAGGGAGTGAAATTAGAAAATTCTAGAGAAGAAAATGTTCTGTAGCTATCCGGATTTGAACCCGGGACCTCTTGAATGAAAGTTGAAACACTCCTCTAGACCACTAGAACCCCCAGTAAGAGTTTATGGCACTATAAGGCCATAATAATAATAATATGAGCTGAAGATTAAAGGCGTTAGAAGAGAGTATTGAACACAGAAAAAGAGGGGGGGGGGGGGGGAGAGACCAATTGATTGGAAAGATGCAGCAGACCACACCAGAGCACCGTTCACTTGCCTACTTATTTTTACCTACGCCACCTCTACTAATTTGCACAATAAGCACAACATCTGCTTTTAAAACAAATATTACTGAGTGTTAGTAGGCCTACTGATTTTACGCAATGTATCATCATAGTACATGCGAAATCAATTTATAAAAGCAAATGGATGAGTCGAAGGCACAGCTCCCTAGACGAAGCACTTAAGCAGGACAAATTTTAGTTTAGTTTAAGTAGAGGTTTTACGGCGCTCGCAACTGCATAAGGTCATATTTGGGCGCCAGAAGATTGGAGGTGTTACAAGAGAGTAACAGACATAAAAAAAGAAGAAGGGGAGATAAGGACGATAGATGTTTGATAGGAAAGAAGAAGCAAACCACACTAGAGCACCCGCCAACCACCCACCGGCAAATTTAAGAGTCAAGTGGAGAGACAAAGAGTCCTAGACACCACAGTACTCTGGCCCTCCCAGATGGAGAGCTCTATACGCCATCCTTCTGTACGTGTTCTCAGCCCCGGGTGGGCTGGCCACGTTCACAGCATAGACGACATTCGCCCCCCCCCCCCTCCTCCTTAAAGGAGTACCCCATTTATAGAGTGAGCTGATTTCAGGCAAACGCCTTCACGATGGACAAAAAAAAACAACCCTTCAAAGAAGCACTGAATGTATCCCTGAATTGATGAGACATTCCCCATAACCACCTCGAAATAAGGAGCTGCTCAAGATTGCACCGCCTGGCGCTCCTTAATAAGATCTGCTGGAGCTGCCGAGTTCGAAGAGAGACGCATCAGCGACAAAGAACAGAGACGTCAACTGAGAAAAGACTGAAGGAGCTTCACATCCCAGCCTAGATCAGCCCCATGCACCCTACCCACCTTCCCCACTGTGTAACAGACACTTCTGGACGAAAATTTGATTGATCAGTCATCTCCTTAGTTTTAGTTTTAATGAGGTTTTATGGCGTTCACAATTGCAAAAGATCATATAAGCGCCAAGGGATGGATGTCAACAGAGAAGTCCAAACGGGGAATCAGGCTTACTCTGCTCACCTCTCTGGCCTCAACAGCACAAAGTCTGCTTCAACTATCAAGGCACCCTGGAAATAGCAGTTCACAAGAGAGTGACAAATATACCAAAGAATTAGAGCCAAAATGGCAATAGTAAGGATGAGGAAAGAAAAAGCTGCAGTTCCCCCTACGTTGTTCCGGCACAGTATGAGCACGACACTGATAAGTCAGCCCACTTACAATTCTACAGTGCATAAGAATATGTTAATATTGCCCCTTTGGGAATGGTTTAAAGATACTTCAGTCAGTAGCACTGAACTGGGGGGGGGGGTCATCTCTGCACACACACCCCACCTCTCAATTATGTGAAGCGAAGGTCACCTTCGCCTAAGAAGGACAAACAACAAAGGTGGGATAAATAAAAGGTTGAAGTCAGGATTCATTTTGATCAATTTTATTAATTGCCATAATAGGGCACTACTGAATGGAAACAGTAGTAAGTTATAATGATATATATGATAACAGTAACAGGTTTCTAAGGACTTGTATAGCAAGAATATAAAAATATATGAGTAAGGCAGCTGGAATTAAAATACATTATAAGAAAAAAAAGTATTAATTCGAGATATGCCACAAATATCATGTTCTTTAATTCAAATCAGCAAACAAAACAGAAAAATATATTTCTGTACCATTGCCAACAGTTTGTTACTAACAACAAACGTGTCTGCATTGGCATGTGTGTATGTGTGTGTGTGTGTGTGCGTGTGATACTGTAATTGGAGTCTACCAAAATTACTGACCACATTTAAAAAATAAGAATTCAACAACGAAACTAATTTTCTAAAAAGTTTTGACTTAATTTGTTCTATGACACAACCAACATTTGAATACAACCTGAATGTGTACATGAATGGAGCAACATTGGACACACATACATTTTCATATAAAGTTCACAACCATATTGGTGTAAAACAACAAGAGCGACAGTAATAAATGTACACAAGACAATTAAGCTACTGATAAACCCAAAATAGACTTTTTCCCCTCCCTTTGAGCCCTGCCATCCTGTGCCTACAGTACCTATGCCCTGGGATTCCCCAAGGAAGACTAGATTTACACAACTGCACACTTTTGAAAACAGCACACTTTTGACAATGACGAAAAGTTACTCAAGTTACTTTCTTTTATTATGGCTTGTAAGTAAAAATAAGTGTATAGGTTTAATGCCCCTATCAACAATATCACGTTATTTAAGAGGCGGGACCTTCAAATTTAACGTCCGTCTCTGATAGGACTGAGCCAAATGGATTGCGGTTGAGGGCCTTGAAAACTCCACAAAATGACTAGAGGTCAAGAACGCCCAGTCTGGTATTGAACCAGGGCCTTCCGCTCCATAGCCCAGCAAGATACCAACTGAGTTTATGGAGCAGGCTATTGGCTTGTGTAGATTCCTATGTAAGTTTGAATGATTCAGTGAAGCAAAAGTTCAAACTTCCGGTACTTACAAAAGCAGAAGCTACTATAAGTCTTTTCAAATGTAAAGAAATAAACCAGAACACCAAGCTCAAAGCTTTAAATTAATATATATATATGTCTTTGATAAAGACCATTCGTTGAAGGAGTACACATATCTTTTGAGCAAGATAAAAATAAGCTTGTAACAATGAAGTCATCTTTTCTGATTTTGCCACTATACTACATGTAAAAAAGAATAAGGGAAAGAGCAAATACTTTGTTCTGTAGTTATCTTTTCTGCAAATTGCCAAGTTCAATGCATTAACAAAAATTCAACTACATGTACCCTTTCTTTCCAAAGCCATGACCAAAACCACAACTTCAACCAGAACAACCACAGCTCAGCTTAGACGAGGCTACTGCTGACTGTTAGTCCCACAACAGCTGAACTAGAGCTACCTACCCTATAATAATGATGATGATATGATAATGATAATAATATTAATAATAATAGCAACAACAATGATTATAACAACAGCAACAATAATAATGATAATACAAATAATGATAAAATTAATAATAATAATCATAGCATTTATTAAATAGTGCTCAACCCTGATTAAAGAACACAGGCTCTGAGAGCTTTACAAATACAATAGCAACACATAAACAGTACTATTGTGTTCTGGCTAAACAAATATAGGGCCTGTATACCCATTAAACTAAAAGCAGAAATGACTTCAGCTGACGTTTGAAAGAATTAAAAATTTGACTTACTAGGCACAGCATTCCAGATCCTGGGGGCCATGATATGCAAATGCCTTTTCACCCGTTGTTTTAAGTTTCATAGATGGTAAAAGTAATTTCTTTTCGTCAGCTGTGATGACCACAGCGAGTTGGAATTTGGAATGTACAGTTTCAACAGATTTGATTAAAACGATGGCGCATTATTACATTTAAGAATTTGTGACACAGTCTTTCTACACAGTATAATATGACCTGCTCACTACAAAAGCACTGCAGCATCTTTTCCCTTAATCACAGCGAATAAGAACAAAACTCAAACACCCACATGGAACATCCTTCTCTCGTCCTGCACTATCATTATCACAGTAACCACCAACCCTGATACAATCCATTAACTGTCCTAGATTCAGGAGAAGCATTTTTATAGGCGAAGGGCTAAATATGAGTTAGCTGAAAAAATAAGTTTACTTATTGTAATAAACCATTTTCGCATTTTGGGAACCATATTTATACTCATGATACAAATCAGGTTAAGTTCATTCACAAGAGCTAAAAAGAATAACAATTATAAACAAATAAGATAGTGGCAAGTACATTTTTCAAGAAATAAAGTAACAAAAAAAAAAAAAAAAAAAAAAAGGAATTATAAAAAGAGGAATGAAAGGCTTAGATTTATTTATAGCAATATTCTAACCAACATCTTAGAATCACAGTGGAACAGTCACGAAAAAGCAAAAAATGGATTGAAAAAGATAAACATGTATGAGAATAAATGCACTTTAAAAGTTTTTGTATTGAGATTAGAATCTACAATAGCCGCACCTTGTTTAAAGAATGGTGAATATATATGCACCACAACCCTGTACGCATAAACAGTAGGAAAAGAGGATTCATTGCGTAGAGATACAGCAATTAGTAAGATCACCATTGTTTCATAAAACAAACATAAAATATGGCCACAAAGAAAACAGGTTTAAAAAAACGTTAAAAAAGATATCAAACTCATTAAACAGGCTCAATGAGAGAGAGATGTATATTATAAGAATGGACAAGGCACTTAATGAGGTAGGCATATGACTTGTTTCTTTTCAAACCTCCTAATATCTACAAAGATTCTTTTCAAACTTAACTCATTATCTTCGCTCCAGTACACATAAGATAGTGCAACTACAAGCACTATCTTTACAAAACAAAACTACACTCTGTGAGTACTTTAGTTTTAGAAATTTGCCACATCTATTGATGTCAAAGTGGCTCTATCTCAAGACACTTAAAAAAAATAAATAACAAAACAGAAAACAAAACACCGAAGAGCCTTCAACAAAATGAAAGCTATAAAAAAAGAACTTCCCCATTCACAAAACCCGTTGATGTGATGTGATTATGAACCAACATAACTTTCAATATAAAAGGGAAACAAAATGCAAAGACTTCAGCTAGCAGGAATTTTAAATGCTCCAAGATAAGTAAAAATAAAATAAACTAACATGTGAATGATAGCAGTAAGCACCTTGCAATCCACAATGGTGTATATCTTCCTCAGGACCAAAATACACAGTAAAATGGAATGAACTAGTCAACCAAGAAAGCTATTGCGTAATCATGTGGCATTTTAGTCAAATATGACTTATGACTATAAAAGTATCACTTAAACTATAACAATAAACAGCATTGTGTACCTTTTCATCCTAGTCCTAAAGAAACAATTGTACATTTGTGTAAGTAAAGAATTTTCATAACAATATGAAACATTTCATTCTAATTGAAATGTGAAAAATTCACTGTAAAAAATATAGGCCTTGGATAATTAAAAGCAACTTCTATCACATAAGACAGTTTTAAAAACAACTTAACAATGAGTGAAGCCATAATCTGATTATTACCTTATATATAATTTCTCCTGTTAAATAAAATATTTTCAGATCAAATACATAGTAATACATAAACATATGAGAAAAATATGAAATGCCATTTCTTAGAGGTAAAGTTCAAACTAATTAATAATATCAATGTGTTTGTGTAAGAGAAGGAACCAAAGACAGTCTCTTAACTGGTGGTTTCCTACACTGCCTACATTACTCCTCGCTCACTAAATGTGAGGCATTGTGGTGAAATCAGGCGCTCGACAAAATAATTAAATGAAAGAAATCTGTATTTTTTTGGCTGATGGGGCATTAAAAAAAAAATTTTCTTTTTTTGGTTCAACACATTTATGTTCATTGAAAACCACATTTTTGAGTGGATTTTACTGAAAAACATTGATTGAAGGCACAAAAAAGTAAATATTCAGTTTCCAAGGCCTCTCAGGCTATGGAAGTTACCAAACTTCGGCAGCCATTTTCTCTTTAATTTTACCTCTGAAACCAGGCAACCCTGGCCTCCTTCAATTGCAAATATATGTGTGTGCCTAAAGAAAGGTACCAAAAGTCGGATTTTGACCATTTTGAGTTAAGGGTTGTACCTTATAGAAAATTCAATGCTGAACAAAGGGGTCTTTGAATTTTTTAGATATCTCAAGTAGTTTTTGAGATACTGCACATTTTTCGAGGTAGGGTAAAAAAATATAATTTTGAGAAAATGAGCTTTTAAGTTTAACAAATGTGAGAACACATACAAACTTTAAAAAAAAAAGATTTAAAAAATGTATCTTTTCATGGAAAATCCATTTCCAATTTAGCATTAAGTTGACACCAATATCATGAATGGAATTTCAGTGGTAAAACATAGCAGAGAAGAGAAAATGTGCTTCAAGAATAGATTTTAACAACTTTTAAAAGCAGTTTTCATTATTTGTTTTTATTACATCCTACCCTCAAAATAATTCAAAATAAAATATTTAGAAGTCAAATCAAAGAAAACCCTTTGAACACATTGTAAAGAAATGGTGGATCCATCATCTTTTAATGGAAACACATTTTGGTCAAAAAAGTGATTTTTGTCATTATCAGCCTGTAGCTCGAAAGGGTCTGGGGCGACTTTTGGTACCTTTCTCTTGGTGAACACACATATTTCGACTTCTATTAAAGATAATGGATATTTTTTTTCACCAAAAGGAAGACAAATGAACAGGCTTTAAGATGATACCAATAACCCCATATATGCCCAAAGATTGACGAGCGCCTGATTCCACTACGTCGCGACACAAATAATCTTTGTTCCTGAACGTATGAGAAAACTGAAGCAAACTAAATAAAACGACATCAATCATGGCACTATAATTCGTTGTTGATGTAAATGCGTGCGGGGCAAAAGAGAATGGACTCATAACAAAAACACATCCCACCGCTTTTTGAAACAACATTAAGGTACCCACAACCCTTTGAAATCTCATGCTTCCTTGCTCCCGTATTCATCTCATTGGCTTCAACTTGATGGGACAAAAGTTGAAAACAGTAGGCTTTTCATTTTTGCATCATACGGCAAAACTGTCTCTTAATTGAGCGAATGTGAGATATTGTAAAACATTTGAGAAGAAGTAGACGATATTGACACATTATATTTCTAATCTGAAAAACTGAATTCTTTGAAACAGATAAATTTTCATAGAAATTTCAACTTGCAGACCATTCTATTTGCCAATGATAAAGCCTCTTTGTATAGTGTAACTAGCAAGACAGCATGACTATCGCATCCCAGCGATAAATGACATAATGAGCTAAATGCACATACAATGCACTTATAACAAGAGATGTAAGTGTAAGAAAGGTTTCTAATTAAATAGCTGATTAAATAGCTTATATCTGCAATATAGTTGAGTAATTCATAGAGAACTATATAATTATTTATGACATTGGTCATCCAAATCACAAGAATGTGGATAAAAGAATGACTCAATCAATATCTTGAGTGTTTTGGAATGTATAAATGCAGCTGCAATGCTTAAAAAATCTATATTTGAAGGCACGGCAGGGTTTTGGGGTCCTTTGCAGACAAATCAGAAGGGCATCCTGTAGATGACAAAAAAAAGTAACACATAAAAACATTCAGCCAAAAAAAAGTCAAATAACAGTATAAAAAAACCAACCCCCCCCCCCCCCCCCCCCCAATTTTAACACATAACAATACTTACGGCAGATGCCCTTAAAAAAAACTAACTAGAAGAGCAGCTTCACAAAATAAATATATGAATCAGCTTCCAAATTATATGGGGAATCTCAAAATTATGAAATGTTTCAACTCTTAAACACTTACAAAAAATTATGAGTGTCATCTGTTCCTGAAATAATCCTATATTGTTTTCAATCTTTGCAAAAAACATAGCCATATATTTTGAGATATTGTGTGGAGAAATGGATTTCAAAGTAAAAAAATAAAAAATACAAGACCCTAAAAATTTTTAAACAAATCTACAGCAGCAGTTGTGTCACACTGTGTGATCTGTCACAAAGAAACGATGGCTGTCATTCAGCAGTTAGGTGATCTGCCATTATGTGCTGTTGTTATCGATTCACAGTCTATCATGTGCAAAAGATCTGAGTTCGATTTTCATGTGGAAAGAATCTTTATTGGGTATTCTGGTTTTTCTGCTGGGGTATTGTATTCCCTCAAGACCTGGGCCCTGAAAGGCAGGGTCAAAGCCAACCCCCTATAATTTGATCTAACTTGGGTTGATGGTGGTGTAAAACAGATTTTAAAAAAAAATCCACAAAGAAATATATTGGGAGAGGAAAGTTTACGTATCCACATTTCAGTTGGGTACAACCCCGGAGAAATAGTAAAAAGAGAGAACAGAACTCCATCACAACAATTACAACACAGGTTTTACGGCGCTCGCAACTGCATAAGGTCATATGAGTGCCAAGGGGTGGATGTCAACAGAAAAATCCTTACAGGGAATCAGACTTACTCTACTCACCTCTCTAGCATCAACAGCACAAAGTCTGCTTCGACTATCAAGGCACCGCGGAAATAGCAGGTTACAAGAGTGTGACAAACATACAAAAGAAGTAGAGGAAAATGACAATAGTAAGGATTAGGAAAGAAAAAGCAGCAATTCCCTGTTATAGTTCAGGCACAGTTATGAGCATGACATTGTTGGATCAGTCCATTTACAAACAACACATCTGCTGGGCATTCAAAACAACACACCTGCAAAACTAGAACAACACGTCTACAGGACAAAAACAACACATCCACATGACAGAAACAACCCATTTGCAGGAAAGAATCAACACATATATTCCATGAGGAACACTAGTACAAAAACAGTATAAAACAGAAATCAATCTAAAAAAAAAAAAGGAAACAGAAATTTATACAGTTCATAATGACACAAATTTCAATAACAATTTATATATATATATATATATATATCAACTGCAGAGGAAGAGTTAGGATAGGATTATAGTACATGAAATAACTTACTCTTTTCACATCTGTCACCAAAGAATCCAGTACTAGCACATTCGCACTTGAAAGTTCGCCCCTTGTCATCAGTGGTGACTTGCGAGCAAACTCCATCATTTTCACAAGGCTTCAATTCTTCACATATGTTGCCTCTTCCTGAAAAAGGAAAAGCATTGTTAGACAGAGTGCATGGTCCTACCTCTTCCTGATGGAAATTATACACACTTGAGCTCGACTGTATTAGTAATTGTATATTATATGTCTGTTCATTATTTTCTTTTTCCACTGCACATTGCAATGTGGTACCATTTATAGCAAAGCTGCAAAAACCAATGAGCACTGAATTTGCCAAGTGCAAAACATGTCAAAAACATTTTGGCCCAAAAATGTAAAGACCATGGTTTAGACTAGAATCAACAAATGAAAAGAAACCAATTCAGTTCTAATTTCACTCTCACTGCATTCTATGTGATAGATACGTTTTTACTTTATAGTTGTGCGAAATTTTTTGTGGCTTTACAGGAATGGTAAAAACACATTATTGATATAAATATATATATACATAGAATTTAAATTGTATGCAAGCATTACTATTATATTTAAGAATGTCAATATGAAGAGTTAAATAAAAGCTGACAATAATACCATGTCACATCAGATACATGATACAGAATAAAACAGATAGCTCAAATTCGTCGGGGCCAAATTCGATAGTTCGAGGGATCCGAGTTCGAAGGATATCTTACAAAGATGAAGAAGAAAAAAACCCAAAACGGGACTGCAGGCACAGTTCGATGGATGAGTGATTTAGAGTCTTCTATGTTCGACCTATTTGTGTTATACAGTATATCTCAAATCACATGTAGGAATTTATTAAAGACTTTGAAAGTTATAGCAATCCATATATATTAGTGTTTATTTCAACAGCAGCCTAATCACAGAACTTCAGGAAACTTTGCATGCATCTTTCTTAGACAACAATCATGTCATTTGGCTTTCTCCATGAGTAAAAATGCACTGCACGAAAAACTGTGGCTCACATGTCAATACAGTCAAACACGGGTAACTCAACTTCGTTGAGGATTGGAAATAATGTTTGAGGTTTCCGTAATTCGTCATGTCCGTGAAAGCCCCAAATACAAAGAAATACAGAGAAAATTTAGGGAGGTAAAAAAGAATATTGAACAATTAATGTGGTTGACTCCTTTGATGAATGTGTTGACGGTGTTGAAGCAAGAAGATTGAAAGAAAGTGGGAAGCAGAAAATCTAACTTGTGCACAGTTGACTATGTCATCCCTTTCCTCTTATTTCATCGGCTTACAGAAAGTTACGCCTCTTGCCATTTGAACAGCGCGTGTCCCACAGGATGATTGCACGCCTGCTGAGCCAGTCATGCGGTGCAGTCACCATCACTCCCCAACCCCCCTTCCTCCAGCCTCTCTTGGTGAGACAAGGATCATGTTATGGCTGTAACAAAAATTACAAAGAAATGCCTACCCGCAGCCAGAAAGGCTGTAAAGCCGGATCTTTAGTTGAGAATGCGTTGTGGATTTGTTCAAGATTCGAGTGTTGCTTAGTCTGAGGGTTCGGGAACTCCATGAAGTCAATACAAAGAAAACATAGGGAGTGAAACGGGACCGAGCAATATGTTCGAGATACCACAGAATTTGTGATGTTCGTGTTCGAGATTCGTGGACTCTACTGAAAATATATACTCAGCAGAGACAGTAATCAGCTGCTGGAAATATCTTGGCTAAACTTATTCTTCAATTTTACCACTTTTACCAATTTTGGCGATAAGCAGTTCCCAAACCTTACTTTTAAAGGTTTTGTTATGTCAAGCAAAATTGCGACATAAGTAGATTGTTATCTTTTTTTTCACAATGCATGCAAAGTTTTGCTGACTCTGAAGTCCGTGGACACAAAGGTCATGCACATCTAAATAGGGAAAGACTCGTCTTAAAAATGCACTTGTAAAAGACTAAATAAAATGGTGGCTTGGCATATTTACCATAAAAAAAGTCATTCAAGCATTCACGTCTGTTTTGGTATGGAAATGGATTATGGCACCCAATCGCTGTCTTCTTCACACAAGTTCGTCGTTTGTAATCAACAAAGTAGCCTCTGAATCTTCGACTGCATATGTAGTCTTGAACAGTTTCTGCATCTGTAATGGGTAAAATTAGAGACATAATATATATACATTATAAAAGTAAACCTTTCATTTCCAAATTGAATTTATACGTTCAGTCTAGCACCACAGTGTAGCTAAGCATTTATAAAAAGTGAATAAATTTTAAGGACCCAAATTGTTAAAAATACTTAAAATGCATCATCGCACCTGTTGAAGACAGTATCGCAAGGAAGCCAGAAAAAAAAAATCTGTCTTGGAGAAGGGAATTTTGGGCAAGGGGGGGAGGGGGGGTGACGAAGGCCAACCCAAATGTGTGGGATCAGGGAAGAACACTTCTGTCTGGTCAGCAAGCAGTGGTCAAAACTTCCCGACCTTTCAAGTGCTTTCCTATCTTCAAGTAAACTTCTCTGATAATGGCATGCATCAGCCTCTCATATATAAGAGATCATAGTTACTGTTGCTTGCATCTTAGACGACCAATCAAAAATAGAAATGACTGACTGAAGGTCTTTTGTTTACACCCTTAGCCTTAGAGCCCTTAAGCGAGTGGACCCGATGGAGTAAAAAGTAAAATTATTAAATGTGTACTACTCAGTTATCTCCAATTTATACTGATATTTTCAATGTCAATATGTCTTTGAAAGAATGAATAATACCACTCTTATGGAAATGCTCAGATTAAATAATTCCTGTCCCAAAGAAACAATCAATACAAAATTTAAATCACCTCTAAGACCTGTGGCTTTAACATCAGTCCTTATGAAATGTAAAAGAAATACTGGTTCTGAAAGAAGTGAGGAAATGAACAGAAGACATACAGGATAACATGCAATTTGCCTATCTCGCCAAGAGGGGCGCACAGGATGCCATTCTCGTGTTCTTATATATAACATCTACAAACACATACATAGACATACCAAGAAATTACTGAAGGATACTTTTTTGCTGATTTTTTACCTGCATTCAACGCAAACCAACCCCACTTAAAAAAAGAATATTATAGCTTGGATTCTTGAGTTGCTAACCAATCGACCTCAATATGTACAATTAAATGGTGTAAAATCCGACCTTATATTCCAAACACTGCTCCGCCCCAAGGTTGTGTAATTTCCCATGTCTTGTTTACGCTCTACACCAACGACTGTACTTCTGACAAAAACATCAACCTAATAAAATTTGCGGATGATTCCACTCTACAAGGTCTTATAACAACAAATGAGAATGAATACAGGGACGCTGTAAATGTATTTACAAAGGCCACCTCTATTCTTACCCGGAGTGAGAATAGTCCAGGCGAGTCTTGTGGCTATTCTCACCCGGTGCGCGTTCACCAAATTTTGCGTTCACCCTAAACCACAGAATTCTACACTGTGATAACAGAAAAATTGTAGAATTCTGTGCCATGAACAAACGTTCCATTACAACTGTAGCCTACTAAAAGCGTACAATTTTGTCTGTGGGCAGTGGAGAGAGAGAGAGAAAGAGAGAGAGGAGTAGCGCGAGAATTTCCGGGCAAAACAAAATGGCGACCCGCGTAGTTCGGCTTGATTCGAAAAGTTAAATAGCCGTAGCATCTTTGTAGACAACCAAATTAATTTACTTTTGTGTTTTAACATCATTTTTTAACTTTGATCGTCCACACCGATAGACAGTATTCAAAAAGAGACAGAGAGAGAGAGAAGGGGGAGGAGTTGATCTTGCGAGAACTTCCGGCGGGTGAGAATAGCCACTTTCATTTACAAATTGGAGTGATAACACTTCCGTCATAAGTCATAAGTAAGTACGGCTAGCCTCTCCATCTTGGTCTTGAAAATCTCTCCTCCCCCACCTCTTTTTTTACCCTTCACCAACAGAAGATGTTAAGAAAAAGTACTGATGGGAGTTGATGCAGCAATGAGAGCCAAACGACGCGAACGTCAGTTAGTTAATTATTTATTCATTTATAGGCTGCTGCACACACAGTAATTAGTCGATTCGCCACGCACACGTTGTTTTCTCCTGCAGGTCAGGTGTCACATTATCATAGATCTAGTCTAGATCTAGATCTAGATCTAGATTCTAGATCTAGATCTATGTCAACCAGAAGTTAGAAAAGGCAAACAAACATAAAACACAACTGAATTTTCCTTACCACTTATAACTATCAGACATAGTGCAAAAGTAGTTAAAACTACGGCTGCAAACATCCCACAAGATCGAACCATTTTGAGGTTTGCTCTGAGCTGTTTCTATTGTAAACAAAGATTGAGCGATCACTTCCGCCTCGACTGCAACTGACGAGGTCAAATGTTCCAGCCCATAAAGTACACAGTTTTCCTCCAGCGACGTGATAATACAAAAGCGTTAAAAGAAATCAGTATTGAATATTTAAAACCACACACCAGGGAAAAGATAATAAAAAGACACACTTTTAACAGTTTTAAGTGGAATAAGTTATAACATAAGTTCAGTTACTTTTTTATAATGGTGAAGTTCATTGGTGTCACACTGCTACTCACATTTGATATTATGGTGGAATTCCTATATATCCAGATATGACATGAAAAAAGTCTCATTTGGCGTTATTTCTGTTGAATCTCGTGTTAGGATAATTGCCAAAATAACAGCTATAATTTATTTGTAATTTCTCCAAATCATTATTTATCACTTTTTAAACTTCAGTCTATGTCATACTTTGGATTTTAAGGTCAGAAAGAAATAATTGTTTATAATCAACTCACGAAAGCATTTGGCAAGCTATTTGATGTTACCTACAATCTGGGGATGTAAAAGCATGCCCGTTTGTGTCTCTCATCGGAAGAGTACTATCTCAGCTGTTGACATTGACTTTCAGTTTAACGTTTAACCTTACTGAAGGAAGAGACACGGGGTTTTGGCTTTATCCGCAATTGAAAACATCAGCTGAAAAGTTGAAAAACATCGCATTTTGAATCTTGGATTTACAGCAGTGATTGGTAAGGTTAATCCGGGGGCCACCTCTATTCTCACTTCACTCCGGGTGAGAATAGCGCAGAGGCAGAGGGAGGGCTAGAGTTGGGGCGAGCGGACGGATGAGTTCGTTACTCGCGGACTCAGTCAGAGCGAACGGGTAACGGACGGCCATGAGAGCGAACTGCGAACCTCAAGACAGTTCGTTTTTTTGGGTCCGCTCC